GACATCCGTACGATAGGCTTATGATTGATTAGGTAATTTTCTCAAAATTGGACTCATTTTCTTAATACCTAAAACTCATTTATGGTGTCTTAGGTCTTTACATGCATCATCTGCACCCTCTGTTTTTAAATGTTACCCTTTCCTCTCATTGTTCTTTGCTCTCTTGTTTGCACTCTCTTCAACAAACACCCTTACTTCCACTTGGTCATACACATAATTAAAATTTTCTTTATCACATTTAGCACTTCGAATTTTGCAAATCCTAAATAACTAGTCTAGCACCTCGAATTTCTAGAATATTCTCTATTCTAGGGTTCGTATAATCTACCAAAAAATTTATGATTAAGAAAAAATCCATTCTAGGATTCAACATCCAGCTATTTTCTAGATCGATTAGAAATTTAAATTTTAGCATATCATGGGTGGAAACTAAGGGCGCGCGTGTTTACCATTTATGACGTGAATGATAACCATTTTGTCTCTTTATTTTTCTTTTTTTTTTGTTCCTAGTAACATATTTGGAACATAAATCTGTTTAGTAACGCAATTTCATTTTTCTATTTCTAGGATAAATTTTTAGCCTCGAAATGGGTTTGGAACAGAAATGATATTCTACTTCTCTATATCTAGAACATAAATAGGGCACAGTAGATGCTGACATGGATAATTTTTAATAATATTTTTTATATTTTTCGGAATTTTTTTATTTTTCCTTTTTTTCTTTTCTTCTCTTTTCCTTCTTTACTTTTTTTTTTTTCGTTTTCTCTTCTTTTCTTTTTTTCTTTTTTCTTTTTCCCTCCGTCGGCCATCATCAAGCCTTATTGATGGCCATGACCACCGACCTCAGGCAAGGGCCACCCTCGCCGGATCGGGCAAGGGCACAATTAAAATATTTAGGACTAAATTGGCAATGGCAAGTTTCCCTCTATTTCCTTCTTTTGCATGCTTCCCTAGCTTCATTTTGGGGATTATTCCCCAATCTACTAAATCTAGGGTTAGGTTGGCGTGTTACCCAGAATTTTATGTATAAAAACTCTACTTATATAAATTTACATCAATACATGTCATTTTAAATAAATAAACATGTAAATGAATATATGAATACTTGATACAGTAAATATATACTTTTTTTAATGTCACAATATGTTTTCTTCATTACATTATATATCTAAAATATTTTTTTATATGGATTGAAAAAGGTTATTAACTAAATCAAAAGAAGTTGCGAATAGAATGATGAAATGGTGCATGAGGAGTGTTAATACCTAAATTTTGGCTAATCATTTAAGGTTTAATTGTAGAATAAATTACATAGCATATAGTTTGTAGGAACATTTATTGCACAATACATTGGATTGGGCCGGCGTGAATGGACTTGAATGAATAGTTTTTAGTTTAATCAAATTAATTGAACTAAGTCCACGTGAGCTAAAAAAATGGCCAAAAGCCCATGCACTTCGGTGGACCTGGAGATTTTTGCTCCACGGCATGATCAGATTAATGAGGCAAGAAGGATTGGGCACATGCATGCGGACCAAGGAAATAAAAGAAGAGTAATAAAAGATCTTAGCACTATTCACGGATGAGAAAGAAATATTGCTCGTGGGGACATATATGTGATCTTATTATTTGAGCAATAAATTTTTTTTTCAAAACAAGAAAGAGGGCATGTTGATGCGTTGGTGGGCGAGTGATTCCGGAATGGGTAATTTTCTTTTTGGAATTTTCTAGATAAGTGTATGGAATGGAGTGTATGAGGATGGAACTGAAGGGAAAAATGCAGAAATAAAATAAGATAGAACGATCTCCTTCCAAGGTATAAAGGCCACGCCACCAACCAAGGATGAGGATCGGGATCTACGAAGTTCATCACCAAGGCCTAAAGATTTCACCAGCCAAGGATGAATGACTTCGGGATAGGAAAAGCTCACCACCAAGGCCTAAAGATACCACCAGTCAAGGATAAAGGGCTTCTTGGCTCACCACCAAGGAGTAATCCACGCTCCAAGGATAAAGAGACCGAAATGAGTTATCCACTCTCCGAAGATATTCACTCAAGCAGAGGAAATCTCACAAATTTTCATTCCTCAAAATCCCCTCTTGCAATGGAGAATCGTCCTCTATTTATAGGAGAAACGAAATCTAGGAATCAACCGAAATATTAAAAGAAAAACCTTGGAACTAATAAACATAATAAAGCACCTAGGTTCTACAAACTTTGACTCTTTGAAACTTGTAAAATAGTAAAGACACCTAGGAACTTAGAAATGCAATTAATAGCATGGGAACTTGCATTCTTGAGTCTTCATCTTTGCAAAATTCGTATTCCCCCTTTGACCAGAAGATAACCTTGTTGAAAACTTTTCAAATGCTCTTTGAAATAGTCCATAATAGCCTCCCATCGATATGTCATCAATATACTTCAAGTTATCGACATTCTTCATCGTATCGATATGTTATCGATAGGTTTTGTTTCATTCAGAATCGTTGGAAATGACCCATCGAAGCACATGATGCCCAAATTCTTTATTGGCTTGAATAAGCATCGATGGTTCCGAATTGTTCGATAAAGCTAAGTCGGATGCTCTCGCATCATCCTCCCTGGGTTGTTTGAGATTTGTCCTCAAATCTGAGAAGTCTTCATCTTCCAAGTAAGGAGAAAGGTCTACCACATTGAAAGTTGCTGAAACTCCAAATTCTCCGGGAAGATCAATCTTGTAAGCATTGTCCCCAATTCGCTCGATAACTTTAAACGGACCATCAGCTCACGGCATGAGCTTGTTCTTGCGTCGAGATGGAAATCTTACCTTTGTTAAGTGAAGCCACACAAGATCACCTGGTTGAAATTGGGCCTTCTTCCGAAACTGATTTGCTTTCTTCTGGTAAGACTCATTGGCCTTCTCAATCTTTGTTCGAATTTGCTCATGAAGCTTCTTCATCGATTCAGCTCTATCTTTGCCATCAAAGCTTACTTGAGAGTTAGATGGAATTGGAATCAAATCGATGGGTGTGAGAGGATTAATTCCATAAACAACTTCAAATGGTGATCGACCAGTAGTGTAACTTGGTGATCGATTGTAAGCAAATTCAGCATGCGCAAGCTTCAAATCCCAATCTTTCAAAGATTTACTCACCATGCTACGAAGAAGAGTGGTAAGAGTACGATTGGTTACCTCCGTTTGGCCATCGATTTGAGGATGACAAGCAGTGTTGAATAAGAGTTTGGTACCAAGCATTCTCCATAGTGTCTTCCAGAACTAGCTTAAGAACTTGGAATCACGATCCGACACAATGGTCTTCGGTACTCCATGGAGACGAATAATCTCTTTGAAATATAAGTCAGCAACAAGAGATGCATCATCGGTTTTGTGACATGGTACAAAATGAGCCATTTTAGAGAACCGATCGACAACCACCATGATGACATCTTTTCCCCTTTGAATTCTCGGTAGAGCCACAATGAAATCCATGCTAACATCTTCCCAGGGCTGCAATGGAACCGGAAGTGGAGTATACAACCCTTGATGGAAATAACTTTTTGCTCTTTGACAAGTTGCACACCTCGAGATAATAGCATGCACATCTCCATTCATCTTTGGCCAATAGAAATGTTCTTGAAGAACCTTAAGAGTTTTGTTAACTCCAAAATGACCAGCCATTCCACCACCATGCGCTTCTCGGATTAGCAACTCGCGAAAAGAACTCTTCGGCACACATAATCGATTTCCTTTAAAAAGAAACCCATCTTGTAAGGAATATGTACCTTGAACTCCTCGCTTACAGTTGTCGATGGTTGATGAGAACTCAGCATCTTTAGAATAAAGTTCTTTCATCAATTGAAATCCAAGAATCCTCGATAAAACATCTGCTAGAACATTAGTGTGTCCAGGTTTATACTTTGAGACAAAAGAAAAGGATTGAAGAAATTCTACCCATTTTGCATGTCTCGAATTAAGCTTGCGTTGGCCGCTAATGAATTTGAGAGCTTCATGATCAGAATGAAGGACAAATTGCTTTGGCCTCAAATAATGACTCCAATGATCAAGAGCTCGGACAATGGCATAGAACTCTTTATCATAAGTTGAATAATTCTTCTTCGAATCAGTCAGCTTCTCGCTGAAATACGCCAAAGGTTTTTGTGCTTGCATAAGAACAGCACCAATGCCAATTCCACTTGCATCACACTCAACTTCAAATACTTTATCAAAATCAGGAAGAGCAAGAATAGGGGACTTACAAAGTTTTTGCTTGATTACCTCAAAAGCATTTTGAGCAGCCTTTGTCCATTCAAAAGCTCCCTTCTTCATGCATTCAGTTATAGGAGCCATGATGGTACTGAAATTTTTAACAAACCGTCGATAGAAAGAAACAAGTCCATGAAAACTTCTTACATAAAAAATGGACTTCGGAACCAGCCAAGTCTTCATAGCTTCCACCTTGGATTGATCGACGGAAATTCCCTCTTTGGAAACTACATAACCAAGAAACACAATGCTTGGAGAGAAGAACTCACATTTCTCCATTTTGGCATAGAGTTTCTGTCCTCTCAAGACATTAAAGACCTGTTTTAAATGAGAGATATGCTCCTCCTCGTCCCTGCTATAAACAAGAATATCGTCGAAATAAATAACGACAAATCGACCAATAAAGGAACGAAGAACCTCGTTCATAAGTCTCATGAAGGTACTTGGAGCATTGGATAACCTGAATGGCATTACCAACCACTCATAAAGGCCTCCCTTGGTTTTGAAAGCCGTCTTCCATTCATCAACTTCTTGCATTCTGATTTGGTGATAACCACTCCGCAAATCTATCTTTGAGAAGACAGTAGAACCATACAATTCATCAAGCATATCATCAAGTCTAGGTATAGGGTACCTATACTTAATGGTGATGTTGTTAATGGCTCGACTATCGACGCACATTCTGAATGAACCATCTTTCTTGGGCACGAGTAGAGCCGGAACAGAACATGGACTCATGCTTTCTCGAACATATCCTCAGTCGATAAGTTCATCGACTTGTCTTTGCAATTCCTTTGTTTCCTTCGGATTACATCGACAAGCTGGTTTGTTTGGTAAAGGAGCGCCGGGGATCAAATCAATTTGATGCTCAATACCTCTTATGGGAGGTAATCCAGGTGGCAAATCCTCCGGGAACACATCTGCAAAATCTTTCAACAAGCGATGCTTCTTTGGATGAATGGGTCGCTCTATCTCACTCTTTTTCTCTACCATAAGCAAAGCAAATACATTCTTTTGTTTGCTAATGGCTCTCTCAACCCGTGTTTCATTTAAGAACAAACTTTCCTTACCAGTGTTTCCCTCCCCAGGTTGATTTCGATGTATCAATGAAGGATTCAAGGGTAAAAGGGTGATGCATTTTTGTTCCTTTCGAAAAGAGTATGTGTTCTTATGACCATCACGCACAGCATTCATATCATATTGCCAAGGTCTTCCCAATAACAAATGACATGCATCCATGGGAATCACATCACACAGAACTTGATCTCGATAGTTCTTCCCAATCGAAAACGATATAAGAGCTCGTTTGGTTACCTTGAGATCATTTCCTTGATTGAGCCATTGGAGCTTGTATGGTTGAGGATGTTTCGTTGTTGGAAGCTTCAGCTTGTCGACAAGGGTTGTCAAAGCAACGTTGGTGCAACTCCCACCATCGATAATCACCGAACATACCTTCCCGTTAATAGTGCAACGGGTGTGAAAGATGTTCTCCCTTTGCTCATTATCAAGAGAAACTTCAACATGCAATACTCTTCGTATGATCAACATTTCGCCATCATCTACTTTCTCCACAAGTTCTTCTTCCTTTTCAAATTCGGAACCATTTTGGTCCGGATTGCTTTCAGCCTATTGAAGTGCCGAATTGATCTCCTCAATTTCTTGAAGAGTCATAACTCGCCGATTTGGACAATTTGCTTGAAAATGCCCAAAACCATGGCACTTAAAGCATTTCCTCGCATTGCCTTCAGGTTTCTTCTTGAATTCTTTGGAAGGCTCTGTACTCTTCTCCTTTCCTTTGTCTTTGGTCGATGTGCTGTCGACCTTGCTTGAGGAAGCACCCTTAAAATAGGATGTCGCCTTGGTTGAGGTTCTGGAGGAAAACCTCTTGCCTTTCAGTTGCTTCTCAACTTTTATGGCTAGCTTACAAACGTCTTCAAAGGACCAATACGGTTGAAGTTCAACCATATCAGCAATTTCTCTATTCATGCCGCCAAGGAAACGAGCGACGGTTTGCTCTGGAACTTCTGGAACGTCGCATCTCATTTTGAGTTGTTCAAACTCACGGATGTATTCTTCAATACTCATCCCTTGTTGTCTTAGGGAATTCAGTTTTAGGAAAAGATCTTGCCTATAATTGTTGGGCAAGAACCTCTTCTTCATCAACTTCTTGAGTTTTTCCCAAGACTTGATTTGGCCTTTTCCTTCTCTTGCTCGCTGATGCTTTAGATTCTCCCACCATAGAGAAGCATACTTTGTCAACTTTAGGACAGCAACCTTGCACCTCTTCTCGTCTGAGTAGGACTTGAAGTCAAAACTCCGTTCGATTATATGTAGCCAATCCACAAAGTCGTCGGGATTGAGACTACCTTCAAATTCAGGGACCTCTACTTTGATGTCTCGATCATTCTCCTTATGCCTCCCTCTTCGTCTTCGGATATGAGAATCGGAATCACTAGAGTTGCCCCCAGTGGAATTGGAATCGCCACTAGAACTTTGACGAGATTCTGAATCGTCATGCCGACGTCGATCATTCGGACGCCTCTCCGGTTGGCCTTGTCTCGCCGGATCCTCTAGAAGATTGAGGACTCGCTCCATTTGTTGCTGAAGGTTTTTGATAACACGATCCCACCTTTCATTGTGCGCTTATTCCAAAGTCAAGCCTCTTGGAACCCGATCATCCATGTTGAATAAGGATTGGAAAACAAAAAGGAATCACTCAAACAAGTTCAACCTTGAGCTCTGATATCAATTTGATACGTTGGTGGGCGAGTGATTCCGGAACGGGTAATTTTCTTTTTGGAATTTTCTAGATAAGTGTATGGAATGGAGTGTATGAGGATGGAACTGAAGGGAAAAATGCAGAAATAAAATAAGATAGAATGATCTCCTTCCAAGGTATAAAGGCCACGCCACCAACCAAGGATGAGGATCGGGATCTACGAAGTTCACCACCAAGGCCTAAAGATTCCACCAGCCAAGGATAAAGGACTTCGGGATAGGAGAAGCTCACCACCAAGACCTAAAGATACCACCAGTCAAGGATAAAGGGCTTCTTGGCTCACCACCAAGGAGTAATCCACGCTCCAAGGATAAAGAGACCGAAAGGAGTTATCCACTCTCCGAAGATATTCACTCAAGCAGAGGAAATCTCACAAATTTTCATTCCTCAAAATCCCCTCTTACAATGGAGAATCGTCCTCTATTTATAGGAGAAACGAAATCTAGGAATTAACCGAAATATTAAAAGAAAAACCTTGGAACTAAGAAACATAATAAAGCACCTAGGTTCTACAAACTTTGACTCTCTGAAACTTGTAAAATAGTAAAGACACCTAGGAACTTAGAAATGCAATTAATAGCATGGGAACTTGCATTCTTGAGTCTTCATCTTTGCAAAATTCGTATTCCCCCTTTGACCAGAAGATAACCTTGTTGAAAACTCTTCAAATGCTCTTTGAAATAGTCCATAATAGCCTCCCATCGATATGTCATCAATATACTTCAAGTTATCGACGTTCTTCATCATATCGATATGTTATCGATAGGTTTTGTTTCATTCAGAATCGTTGGAAATGACCCATCGAAGCACATGATGCCCAAATTCTTTATTGGCTTGAATAAGCATCGATGGTTCCAAATTGTTCGATAAAGCTAAGTCGGATGCTCCCGCATCACATGTTCTTCACAGAATCTGCAATATATACAACGGAAGTCAACATTATTTTACAATTTGTCTTTGATAATTTGTCTTTGATATTTGGGGGCCCAGTTTTATTGCGTACAGAAACAGGAAAGAAAGAGGGGATGATCATTTCTTACTGGTTCGGTAGTCAAGAGAAGCACTATAAAAGCACAAGAAGACGAGACGTGGGGGCTCTCTGACAAAACTCAAAGAAAAGGCAAGACAAGAAAGAGGGTAAAAAGTTAAAGAGAGAAAGAGTCGTTGCTTCCTTGCTGCGAGCTTGACGTCAACCCCGACGTTGTTGCTCTGGTCCGAGCTGCCCCTGTCCGTGACTACGAATCCAGCCAGCCCCAGCCGCCGTGCCTGTTGCCTCGACGAGCCAACTGATCCCAGCTTGTCGGATGTGTTACTGCCCAAGCCGCCGTGCCTGCTCTGCCCACGACACGCCTCGCCAGACCACCCCGACGATGGTGCTGCTCCTGCTGCTGATTTGCCTCTGCATTGACACTCGAGATGTTGCTCCGCTCCTGTTGCGGTGTCGCAAATCCCCTCGATGAAGCTGTTATTGTTCCGAGCTCCCGGGTGTTTCTTTTCAATCTTGTCATCGCTGCTGATCCGGTGATTTTGCTGCCTTCTCATTGCAAACCCAGCTGCCACGAGTCTCCGTTGCGCCGCTCCTGCTTGACTCACCCCAATCGTGCTCAGTCCCAAGACACCCCACACCAAGAGTTATTCTGTTTTTGCAGGTGTTTCCCAAGAGCTGTCTCGGCGAAGACCCTCTCTGGCCGAGTTTCTTCACCATCCATGAGCTCATCTGTGAACTTGTTACCGTGAGCCTCCCCGGTCCCGAGCTGTAATCCACTGCAGGCCACTGTCCCGTTTGTGGTCCGTCGAGTCCTATTTGGAAACTTATCCACGTGATATTTCGAATTAGATAATGATTTAATCCGCTATCAATTTGAATATTTTATTATTCAATTTGATTGATTTCATTAATTAATTTGATGTCTAAGTGGTTGTGCATATCTGTAAAATATTTGAATATCCAGCACATAAACTTTCATTAATATGTGCTTGGACGGCAATCCAATCTCTAACTACAAGATACAATATCCGGCAGCATGGAAAATCTTCCATCTTATCAATAACCACTTGTATACGATCGTTGATTTACTTTGTTTCCAAATTTAAATGGAAAACTTTCCATTAATATCCATAAACATTTGGATATGATCGCTGGTTTATTTTATTTCCGAATTTAAACAAATAAAATATAGGGTTAATACCACGAAAAACCTAAAGAAATCTCACAAATTTTCATTCCTCAAAATCCCCTCTTACAATGGAGAATCGTCCTCTATTTATAGGAGAAACGAAATCTAGGAATTAACCGAAATATTAAAAGAAAAACCTTGGAACTAAGAAACATAATAAAGCACCTAGGTTCTACAAACTTTGACTCTCTGAAACTTGTAAAATAGTAAAGACACCTAGGAACTTAGAAATGCAATTAATAGCATGGGAACTTGCATTCTTGAGTTTTCATCTTTGCAAAATTCGTATTCCCCCTTTGACCAGAAGATAACCTTGTTGAAAACTCTTCAAATGCTCTTTGAAATAGTCCATAATAGCCTCCCATCGATATGTCATCAATATACTTCAAGTTATCGACGTTCTTCATCATATCGATATGTTATCGATAGGTTTTGTTTCATTCAGAATCGTTGGAAATGACCCATTCGAAGCACATGATGCCCAAATTCTTTATTGGCTTGAATAAGCATCGATGGTTCCAAATTGTTCGATAAAGCTAAGTCGGATGCTCCCGCATCACATGTTCTTCACAGAATCTGCAATATATACAACGGAAGTCAACATTATTTTACAATTTGTCTTTGATAATTTGTCTTTGATATTTGGGGGCCCAGTTTTATTGCGTACAGAAACAGGAAAGAAAGAGGGGATGATCATTTCTTACTGGTTCGGTAGTCAAGAGAAGCACTATAAAAGCACAAGAAGACGAGACGTGGGGGCTCTCTGACAAAACTCAAAGAAAAGGCAAGACAAGAAAGAGGGTAAAAAGTTAAAGAGAGAAAGAGTCGTTGCTTCCTTGCTGCGAGCTTGACGTCAACCCCGACGTTGTTGCTCTGGTCCGAGCTGCCCCTCTCCGTGACTACGAATCCAGCCAGCCCCAGCCGCCGTGCCTGTTGCCTCGACGAGCCAACTGATCCCAGCTTGTCCGATGTGTTACTGCCAAGCCGCCGTGCCTGCTCTGCCCACGACACGCCTCGCCAGACCACCCCGACGATGGTGCTGCTCCTGCTGCTGATTTGCCTCTGCATTGACACTCGAGATGTTGCTCCGCTCCTGTTGCGGTGTCGCAAATCCCCTCGATGAAGCTGTTATTGTTCCGAGCTCCCGGGTGTTTCTTTTCAATCTTGTCATCGCTGCTGATCCGGTGATTTTGCTGCCTTCTCATTGCAAACCCAGCTGCCACGAGTCTTCGTTGCGCCGCTCCTGCTTGACTCACCCCAATCGTGCTCAGTCCCAAGACACCCCACACCAAGAGTTATTCTGTTTTTGCAGGTGTTTCCCAAGAGCTGTCTCGGCGAAGACCCTCTCTGGCCGAGTTTCTTCACCATCCATGAGCTCATCTGTGAACTTGTTACCGTGAGCCTCCCCGGTCCCGAGCTGTAATCCACTGCAGGCCACTGTCCCGTTTGTGGTCCGTCGAATCCTATTTGGAAACTTATCCACGTGATATTTCGAATTAGATAATGATTTCATCCGCTATCAATTTGAATATTTTATTATTCAATTTGATTGATTTCATTAATTAATTTGATGTCTAAGTGGTTGTGCATAT